GGAGTCCTCTGAGCTTGAGAGTTTAGTCTACTGGGAGGGAAACCTCCTTTTCATGTGTGTGGACACTCCCTAAAGCTGAAGTCAGGCATGGTGCCAATATGAATTTACTGCAGATTGACAAAAACCCTAGGCTAGACTATAGCCTATACTCGCAGACAGCCAATCCTTCACTTAGGTATATGTTTATGAATTTTAGTGTAGGCGAGACTGTGTATCACAGATCAGCAAACAGAACAGGAACAGCAGCATCATTCAGCCAAATCAAAGTCATGAATTGGTAAACAGCAGTGTAATTCTGATACGAGCAGTGGGCAGCAGTGACGGAAATCTGTGCCTGTCACTGCAAATATCAGCCGGCTGAGGACAAAGTGATTCATTATTAGATAGCCTGTGCGGACACCAGAATGTGGCAGGTGGGAGGTTGGCCTTGACTGGGGGTTGCTCTACAGGCTAGCTGCGGGAACACCGGGTGGGTAACCAAGAATGAAAATCTCTTTCTTTTGTAGTTGTGATGTCAAAAAATGTCACGGGGTAGACATGCTGCCGTGGACGGGTTACATCTACTGCCGATGTGTGAAAAGGCGCGAGCAAAAAGAGAAGAGTTGGGGATAACAAGTTGTTAGTCACCGCTACAACAACGTCAGAGACTTCTGCCCCCTCCGGTACTGGTGCTGTGCTGCTGACCCGGGATGACTAACTCCGTCGATGTAAGTTGACTGGCTGGTAACGCAGGGGAGCAGCCTACAGTCGCGGGAAGTAAACAGAATGAACAATAACATCAGGACTTGATGAGGTGACTGCAAGAAATCACGGACATAATTAATAGGCCTACTGTGATTTTATAGGCCTATGTAGCCTATGGTGATAAATGTAGGCTACATTATATAATTATGACAAATTATGCTACACAGCAACAAGATAAGATATATTTTCCTTCTTAATATCGTTCCAAACACCACAAATAGCCACTGTTACTACATTGCAATGAGGTGTTTAGGATAAAACAAGCGGCAGGAACCATGTGCTATCCACGGATCTGCCGCATGTGTGTAGCGTTCTGTCGCCATGGATACGCCGTTGCCTATGACGCAAGGACGTATAAATTTGGCCTTTTGTGTTATGCAGCCTAGCAACCGGTTTCCGTGGTAACCAACTGTGATTGACAGACAGCAGCAGAAGCACACAATATGGCTTCCGGATTCTCTCTGTGCAGGGAACAGAAACGAATCTGAGAACGCTACAGCGGTGGTTGTTGTTGTTTTAGCACTGTTTTAACTGTTAACGGCTGTTGGTCGTGCGTTGTAACGTCTTGGAAGTACAAGGAAACTTGACGGTGTTAGCGTTTACAACACATCTGTAAAATGCAAATATACACATGCTTAGCAACGCACAAATGTATGCCTCTCGCTGCTATTTACTAAGTTGTAAACGTGTGCGTAACAAGCGGAACCCAAGACGAACTGACTATTGTCAGACCCGTCAGAAGATTTGCATTAAATGTCATTAACAGATTCCATGTTAGACAGCGCCAGCAATTGAGAACTTTTTCAAATAGTCAAATAGCTATAGGAGCTGATATTTTGTGGAAAAGGTGGGCAGTAATTGGCTTTTTTATTTAAATCTACAGCATTTCCTCATCCACCTTCTGTTGCAATGAATTTAATTTAGTTATTTCACTAAGATAATTAATTAGTAGCCTACTGCTTTCAGGAAGTCCGCGATGCATATAACACAACAAACCAATAAGACTCATTAGCATTAGTAGTGACCATATCTCAATCAAGTGTAAGCTGTGTAACAGAGAAAAGCAGAAATATTTCAGATTGCTGAGACTATCAAATATTTGACATTGTTGTGTATGAAATGAAAAAAATACTTGCATATAAAAATGACTACAGACTGGTCATCTGACCAGCTAACCAAAGAATCAGTGTACTGACTATTCATCTAATTTGAAAGAATGTAAAGTTTAAAGTTGCAGATACAGTGTTACCATATCATTCATACAGAACAGAAACAGTGTTTAAGCCTGTTGAAGTTTTTGTATCTCTCCATAAGCTGTCTGTATCTAAATCATGGCTACATTTAGTGCATGGAGTACATTATGGAGTTTGAGTCAGACTGCAGTGCTCTCTCTGAACTGTTTTGTACCTTGAGAGTGTGTGTGTTTACATGTTGTGGTGGTCTAGACTCCCTCCGAGACAGGTAAAAAAAAAAAAGAGGTTCTGTGTCTAATGCCCCTGATATGCTTTGTTTTGCTTGTCTGTGTCTCTTAGCATAGTTTCGGGAAGCCACTAACTTGCACCGTGCTCATGAGGCCAGCCCCTGTTTCCTTTTGGAAGGCGGGCCGTGTTTGCCTAGTCTTCCTGGTCAAAATATTTGTTACCAGGCAACGGTTAGGCCTCTCCCACCTCAGAGTGGTGTTGTTTACACCCCTTCTGGCTCTATATCCCAACAACATTACATAACTCTCACAGGCTTTCCCCACCTCACTGAGAGAAACTTGATCGGCCTGCTCTCTCCGGCCAACCAAAATGTCTCATACCATAGTTTTTCCTTCAGCTACTCAACAGTTTCCTTCTGTCTTTGTCTGCTGTATTTACTCTTAGCTTGTTCTTACTCACTTAGCCATTCAGTGCAACACGACTGAAACTGAGGCTATAATAGTTTATGAAAAGTTATGCTCGACTTGACTTTTATGTCAGCCTTTGGCTAAAACTCCCTGCAGCTTATGATGATATGATCATTTAGGTGGAGGCCCTGATCTGCCCTGTAACCATTTAATGACACATCTATTTTCATCTAAATCTAGTAATTCTTTCTTGGCAGAGTTGAAGGCCTTTCTGCATATTTAGGCAAACATGGCTTGTGTTAACTAAAATACCTGAGCTAAAATTAAAAACTGGAGCCTTAATATTTTTTGAGATTGGACCATATACCTACTTTTGAACTTGGGATGTCCTCTTTTTTTTCTTTTTTTGTTACTGCAAGTCAGTCTTCTTTTGTCTGAAGCTGATGAAGCTGACTTTGAAATCATTTTTGATGTTGAAATATATATCAGATGCACATCACCTGTATGATTTAATTACATCAGCTCTGTAACTAAAGAATATTTAGTTGTAAATTGTGTTAGCTACAGAAAAAGACTATATAATAGTCCTTCATGTAATCTTTGAGAGATAGTATGAAAAGAAAATACATGCCTCAGCTGGCCTGACTTTCCCTCATTTTATGAGCAATAACTGGAAAAAGTGTAGAGTTGTATAACAGCTGTACAGCTCCCTGCCTTTCAGTAGGGGACAGTGAAGTTTCTGCTATTTTCTGTCTTACAACAGAATCTGTTTTTTGTATTTGTACCACAAACTGGAGGGGAACTAAGAGACTGTTTTTCTTTTCTGTAAGTGCCAAATAACAAGCATACTGTCTTGATGTTAAGCTCCTGATTCCTTGTAGTGCTCAAAGTGTTGTTCAGACACAGAATCTGGTAGTATCTGATTTGTGTTATATTTGTAGAGTGAATTTGTTGAGGTGTCCTTTTGATAGAAACGGGCAGGGTTTCCACTCTCTGCTTCTTTATGAGCTCTTTTCCCTGTCCCAAAGGATAAGTTCATTTTCTGTGTGCAAGAGAAACTTATTTTTGCTTTTTGTATCCATAGATTTATTCTTCTAGTCACCGCCCAACACTGTTGACCTTGCATCCCATCTTACTGTATCTGTCCATTTGTGATTATGGCCCCAAGATAACAAGATAACTGCACTTAGGGCAGCAACTCACTTTCAATCTTAAAACTTGTGTGACTTTCTGCTGAAGATGCAGATACTGTGCAGCTTTTGCTTCAGTTATACAAGGGCTAGATGCACCAAAGCAACAGCCCTGGCACCCCACACTCCCACAGACACTACAGGACCCCTCAGTGGGCAGTGAAGACCACAGTAGTCAAGATGACTAAAAGGGAAAAGTCCCCTGATTCTTTTAGTGTCTGTGACTATGAAGAACTGGTTACATTATTTACCCTTGACCTTCCATTTGTTCCCATTCCCTTCTTCAGCACACAGCTTTTTTGCAGCTGTTTATGCTAATATACTTATGTTTATATGGTGCAATCCTTATGGCTCTACAGTTAAATAACAAGCTTGTGTGTTTATAGAAACTCATACAGCAGACACGCACAGCAATCATTTATAGTGATCTGTGCAGAAGCTAAAACATTCATTTGTGCATGCGTCATAGCCTCAGTTGTGGGCTCTTCTGAGACAAAATGTTCTCACGTCATCTCATTTAACCCGGCAGAATGGCATCAGACCTCTTAACACTCATTTCCCTCAGTATTAAACAGGTTAGTGAGGCTTTGGTTGGCTATGGCATGGCCTGCTGTTAATTGGTCCTTACTTGATGATTAAAACAAAAGATTCTTGACAGCTTTTTGTGAGAAAGAGGTTATTGTGCCATGGCAGAAAATTAAGATGGCACTAATTGCTTTTGCAGTTCACCTCTCACTATTGATTTCTTTTCATGTCTTCCTAAACCCATTGGTGTGGAACCACAAGTAGGATAATGTCATTTTAGTGTTCATATTTATAATATGTATATGTCTCTACCCATCTCTACAATTGTTCACAGCATTTTTATTAATTAATTTATTTTTCTAAGTGCAACTATAAACGTCAGCATTGAGGTGCAGAAAGCGCAGCGTACGGCTCCAATGTATCATGCACTGCATGGGAGTTGGATGCCTAAAGTTAAAGGCAATCAGTGGGTTTCCACAGCTCTCAGTGACTCAGACACGAGCAACGCGTCAATCCTAGCCTACTTTCAGCAGGCTCGCTGCCAGTCAGAGGCACATTGCCAGAAAGAGGGAGGGACAAGAGCAAATGTGTGACAGAG